GAGGATCACGCGGTCCCCATCCTGGAAGGCGAGTAGCACCGACAGCACCCAAGCGTTTCGTGATCTCCTTCATACTCCTCTGCCAAGTCATGGGTTGGCCACCTTAATGTTTACGCCACTCCGAATTGGGCATGGAAAACAACACTCTCTTCGGCAAACGATGATTCGGCATACGCAACACATGTCCCAACCAACACAGCTTCTGGTGCTGGACGCATTCTTCAATGGACATACCCGTTGCACAACCGAAAACACGCTTTCTAACGGCCTCGTTACGGATTCGCCGACACCAACCCACACGAGCTATGGTTCTGAGACAACGATTGTCGAACACTTGAAGACGTCTCCGCTGCTCTGCTCGAATAGGCCAAGTCTCACAGCTATACGGATAGGTTCTTATCGCGACATCTATGCATTGAATGTCTCAGTTACAGCTAAGGAACGTTAGAGCCGTCACACCCATTGAAGTAGTCTGTTCATAGTTTTAAACTGCTCAGTTCTGAAAATCCTCTGTTTTTCCCATAATTATTTCATTACTGAGCTTGCTCACTTTGCTTAGGTCTCCATCTATATACGCACGCGGGTGACGTGTACGCTGAATGTCTCTCGGATAGTAGCATTTTCATCCAGTCCCGAGAATGCAATGAACGTCATCGATTTCACCCAACCACTGTGATCAAGATCCCTCCTGGCGGCTCACTTCGCATTTTTTCCAACCGGCATTTCGCCCAGATACTCAGCTTCACAGTGACCCAGGGTGTGGAGGCAACCTACGATCTTATTCGGATGTGTACGATCCGTCTGAGTTTTGTCAAAGGCTGGGGTGCTGAATACCATCGACAAGATGTCACTTCAACCCCCTGTTGGATTGAGGTACATTTGCGCGGACCACTGTTATGGTTGGATCGAATTTTACGGCAAATGGGACCGTGCCGCAATCCAATATCTTCCGTCTCCTAGGTTTATCCCAATTTTTCGTCACTCTTTGTGATGAGTGTGTTCTTTGTGTCCACACTGGGGGTGCCATCAGAGGTCGACCCAAGCGCCATTCTAGAGGAACCGTATGATCGCTGTTGACTGTTGTCCCCTTCTCATTGAGATACATACTTCTTGCCAGCCTAATCAATGTTTCGGCGTTGCTTTTTCGATGAAACTCAAATTGATTTGGCTCGCTTGGCTGATCATTTACATATGCCAGATTGATTCCTATCGTGTGCGTACGTCACACTGACTGTTTGTCTCATGCTTCGTTTTCGCATTTCTTACTTTGCATTATCGCCCAAAATTGACTTGGTTCTTTCACGACGCTCACTAATGTACACACTCGTGAACATCTACAAATTATCTTCACTTGGCTGCATGTTCTTGGGGCTTTATAGCAGTCGGGACTGTGGTAGCTTAGCGGTTAAGGCGCTTAGGTTCGTGGTTGTAATCCATCTTGGCTGTCCGAGTGCTCATGGCAAAATGGAAGCCGTCCTTTGAGTCCCACTGCAGCTATGTATTATAAAATTTCCACAACTGGACGACTACTATTGTCCCATAATAATCCATGAGAAATTTGGTTAGTCATAACATTCGGTTGTTTTACTGGTCTTAAACCTTTAGGCCCGAACATTTGTTTAACTTTTAGATGTCCAGATTGACTGATCAAAGAGAGGGGTGTTCAAGTAGATCCTCACTAGACCGTTTCTGCTCGTCGGCAGGTTTACATTTGTTGAAAAGGTTGGCTGACAGCTGCAGTGACCAAGTTACACCTTTTCTGACTTACAGGCACCGTCGCTCAAACACTCCCGAATTTCTGAGAAGCTCCCATCACTTATTCATAGTGCGTTGCAAAATCAGAATTTATACTAGTCCGCAGTCGTGAACATGTCTTCTAAGACATCAATACCTATGATCCAATCCTGCTTATTTGATCGAGACGCTAGACCTGCACCTCAGGTACGTCAAAAAATCGTCGTAATTGTACTCTAACCAGTATCCGATGTGCGTCAACTCCATCCCAAATGCAGATTGGGCACAAACAAATGCTTCTTTGGATATGTTCCTGGCTTACGATTGAACTTCCCACCGATTCTTCCCAATAACGATGCTTCTGGAACAGCGCTTCTCATCCAGGAATGAACTCTTATCTCAAGGACTATGTAGGATTCGTTTATTAGACCAATCTACCACTGTTTGGGTTATCCGCCATGGTGACGGTTGTTTGCACTGTGCAAGACTTAGGGCATCGTTTGTTCGCAAAGTAAGGACAACAGAAGACCCACTTCGATTGTACCCGTCTGTGGATGTCACCTGATCCTTTGAATGATTCTTCTAGCGGATTTTAACGGAATTCGACTGTTTTTGCGGTATTCGGAGAATTGACTCTCAACGCACAGAAGAGACGAATTTCGATCAAGACTACACATGAGGAGGCAGAATAAGTGTTGTATGGATGAGTGGTAGACACCCAGAACGTTGTTTTTCACGGGGAAACAAACACGTTAGATACCTTTAAGCATCCACCAATGTTCCTCTCATTATTCAGTGGATGCCTTTTCGTCTGAAGAGCTGCATTCCTGAACCATAAATAGCTTGCGGTTGTAAATGGTGACGGACCTTGAAGGTCTGAGCTCGAGGTAGTTCAGTGGTTAAGGCGCGAACCGGATTGTCCGTGTTTCGAACCCAGGATCTGCATCTCAACCGCTGCTGTCTGGCCCTGGGAAGCCTATAAGTTACATGACAGGTAGGCACAGAAAGTGTGTCTCAGGTTTGATTCACTTAAAAAACTGACAGCAGGTCGACAGGCCGTAATCTCATGAGGACCCATAAAACAGTAAGTGGATTTGCTGATGGGTAACGTTTCGTTTTTGACAAAAAATTTGTCCAGCGCACCCTATCAAAGTATTTGGTAGTATTATCTCATCAGTGCTGCGCTTTGGAGCTATATGTACAGAAGTAGCCGAACTGCGCCCAAAATCAGCCGATTTGTTTACTAGGTAGTAGAACAGACAGTTATTGCCCTGGAAACTGTCTTTTGTTGGGTCGCAGATAAAACCAACAAGAGTAACCTTCCAAGGGGGAATCGCGCTATGGACTGATGCAATTAAATAGTCGACTCCCTCAGGTAGACAGACGGAACCGACAAACATAAGAGATCAACAAACGAACCCCTAAAGCGGTTGCTCATTGGGCGTTAGTAAAACTCAGCTAAGTTGAAATTTTTACGGATCCGGGGCACAAAACAAATTTGGAAATTGTTGAATTTGGGTGAGAACGATTCACACCACAGCAAGTGATGACCGAGGTAGTGGTATCCCAGTTTGAACAACATGAAGGGCTTGCAAGTCAGCCTGTGCGTGGAAAGCGACCTCACATTAGCCGGTCTTCCTTCAGGGGTAATTTAAACTGAATGGTGCAGAGCCAAGCCGGGCCAGCAGCCGTGCGGTCTTTTGCAAGCCTTAACCAAATCGTCGTGGCAATTGACAGCCCACTAAGATTGGCGCTCAAATGAAACTTTCGGCCAGTATTCTGAATCTGATAACATTTCAGGCTTGACATAACTCTCTTCCTCCATCGGTCGGGAAACTTATTTACACTCCCTAACAAAGATCGTACACCGACCTCTTTCCTTTTTCTGGTTCGCCTGGAGTCAACCAAACAGTCAACTCGACCCTATTTACCAATCAATTTTCCCATACTTTTTTGTGGAAGCCTTAATCCAGGAGTGAGAAAACTAATAAACGCAAATTGAATCAATCCAACAGTATCTTGAATTTTTTCGGCATCCCAACTACAACCATTCCCTTTACTAGCCTCATCGCACCAGCTGTGTATGTGATTTTTACTGCTTAATGTAGGTGCGAAATGGAATGTGTACATTTTGGGCTTGGTGTACAGTACATATCACTCCCATATCAAGACCATTTGACGCATTTTTAGGCAATAAGAAGTTCTAGCGGAGTCGTCGCCAGCATCAGGATCTGCTGATCAATAGTGTAAATTGGCGCTTACCTGCCACGCAGTCATGGAAGATCATAGTAAAGAGCGAAAGGAAAGGTAGGACAGGAGCTTAACTCAAGAAAACGGTCGAGAGCTAGATGCCTACACCTAAAAGCTTTGGAGTAAGCGCGTGTTAGCCTCATGTCGGAGTGATATACATCACCATTGAGTTTGACCCAAAATCCTCCTCGTATTTCCCCCCAACAAAAACCTGGCTAACGGTGACGAGCGAGCATTAACTAGGGAGTTCCTCTAGGGAATGACAGCTGTTAGGATCGATTATGTATTGTCCTACAGGGTTTCCCACCCTGAGCGATCAGAGCCACATTGACCCCGCCCAAGAATATACAAAATCCCGTAGTGTTTCTCGTTACGGTCATAGTCTCTCCGTAAGCCTTTCTACAACAAGAGAGTGGAGTGGAAAATATTGTTTTCGGGCTTGCGCAGTACATGTCCCAATACTTTAATTCGATGAGCGTTTTCTGCCGCACATGCAATTTCGACATATTATCTTGTATTCGTTTACGAAGCGCTGCTTTAAGGACTTGCTACAAGCAGTTAGAGCCTGTTATGTTACGAGTACGCCCGTGAAAAGACATCTGAATGCACTTTATGTCTTCGGATCAAAGAGGCCAAGTTTTGCAGGCATCAATTGACGCTATTCTCTTGGTCGTTTTCTAGGCATGACTTTTCGATCGTTTCCGATACAAATGATGTAAGTTAGGGAATATCATTTGTGTCTTGGTGGTACGTGCATTGACTACATATGCCAAGATAAGTAAACCTATAAGCAAACTGAAGTTTCAAACAGGAAATGGGAAGCAATACTTTGCGCTTTGAAGGCGCATACCGAAACACAGGACCGCCTCCCACATTTTCTGGAGAAGTGCGATCGTAGGATCGTCCATATCATCCATGTTCCCTAAGCTGCCTGCGGATTCGATTTAGATGCTCAGGTTTCCAGTTCTTTTGACGCTGTTGTCGATCATGAAATTGGACATGAGAAGCTGGTGAGACCAATCCTACTGAATTTGACAAGCAAGAAAGTCAATGAATCTTGAACCAATATTTTTACCTATTCATTTTCTTGATTCATTTACTTATTTATCGGTACTAATTTCCTTGATGCTGTATCCGATTTGACGGTGATATAAGTGGCACTTGATTATATTTTAAACGTCTTATCACATAAGATATCAACGCATGTTTTGAAGCGCGAAAAGCTACGGAAATATGCTGAGTCAATGTAGTAGATTTAGGTTAGATGATAGACTAACGCGGCGCGAGAACCATGGAACAACCAGTTCGGTTGAAGGTTTTGGGTGGAGTTCTACTTGTGATGAGTATCATTTTACCAGTGTTACGGTTTGAAGAACTAGGGAAACCGAATTCTATTCTATTATGAGAACATTAATTCAGTCTGGTCTAAGGTGAACTTCGGTGAGTTCATTCGACTTCATCCTGGACGCTGGATCTCAAAATTTCGTTGGTGGCCCTTACGACCATGACCGCTTTTAATGCGTGAGTAGCAGTTTGGTTTAGGTCGATTTAGGTGAAAACTAGAACTCTGAATGCTTGTGTGTGACGCTGGCGGTGACGGCATAAATGTTCACGATTGTTCGCTGTTTTTCGGACAATGCCATAGGCTGTCAACTTGTTCATCTGGAGAGATTACAGGTTCGAATAACTTCTAATGCTGGACGACTGTAAAAATCGAGTAGTGCCTAAAAACGCCTAAAGTGATTCTAAGCACTGAAAGTGAGTGTTAGGGCGTTTGCTACCGGAACATTTTGCCCAATTTCTTCCAGTATATGGACGTCATCATATTTTCTGAGTTAAAATAATGGGACCTGATACATAAGGCTGAAAATATTATTTCTGAGCTAGGTTGATTCTCTCGATCTCCGTTTTACTTTGAATCTACCTTGAATTCTTTGCCTAGCGGGATCGCTGCTGTTCCGCACGTCACGTTTCACACAAAATTCAAGTCACTGGTAATTTGTTAATGGTATCTGAATAGGTGCTGATTTGTTAATGGTATGTGAATAGGTGCTGGACTTTGTAATTTACTACTCATAAGGTTGCTGAAAATCCATCGACAGCCCACGATCGAGAGATTCAGCTGGGTTCCAGGTGAGTCTCTCGAAAGAACCAAATTAGTTTGCAGATGAGTGTATATTCGCTAAGTACTGGACTGTTTTGGTCGGGATGACTAACCATGACATTGGGAGATGGGTAGTTTTCGATTTGATGGTCAAGATCACGTAACACTGTCCTGTCTCTCACTAGAACGCCGCATACTTGTTGGTTCTTTCACACTTCGGAACCGCGTAATGTTCACCTTTGTACTTTCACTGATTAC